GCCTTCCCAAACTTCCGGCAGGCCCATTTTTCTCCCTCCCTCCCCGAGCCTCTGCGCACCCCCTGCCCTTATCTGCATCCAAAACGGGCCCTATGGGGATTCCTGGGAGGGGAGGGGACGGGCGGGATGGGTGGGGCCAGCCAGGAGTGGGATTTGGAGGCTTCTCCGAACTGCGCTGAATCTTAGCTAAGGGCTCCCCTGAACCCCTGCGAACCCCTAGCAGCCCAGCCCTGGATCCACGGGGTGGGGAGTCAAGTGTAGCAGCTTTGAACACATGACACATGTACAAAAAATGGGGTGTGAGCTTGGACCCCATTCATCTTTTCTATGCTCATCGCCAAGAATTTTTGGAAAGGAAATTGCTAAGGAATCCTAGGGTTGGGCTAGGTTGTAGGGCGGAGGGGGAAGCTTCCCTGGGAAAGAAATAGGAAGTCATTTCTCTGTTGCTGCCAGAGGTTCAGAGTTCAGAGGTCTGAAGTCAGGGCCAGACTGCTGCGGGCTTGCAGGGGTTCGCAAGAGCCTCTAGCTAAGATTCTGCGCTGTTCACACACACACACGCCGTGGTGCAGGAGGCCGACTAGGCCATGCCCACCCAGCAACCGGGCAGAGAACGCATTGCTAAAAAAAAATTGAAGCTCACCCTTGTCTGAAGTCACCATGAAGCCACCTGACCAGATCTCAGCATGAGGGAATGTTTGCTTCTGCAACACTATGTTGTGTTTGGGCTGACTAAACTGCTGTGGTTGTCCTGTCATTGTCCGTAAAATAAGATTTCCACGTAACAATGCACACTTAGAAGAAACGCACGTAGGGCACTGATGATTTATCATATAAATCTGCCATGGTTTATTTTCCCAGTATCAGCAAGGTCAGATCCTCACAGCTGCTCTGATATGGTGAATATGCTCCACACCAGAATAAATGATCAAGCCATTTGAATGCAGTTTTTGGATTCATTCATTGCACGAGTACTTCTCATAACAAATAACCCTGGCTGTCATTTTCCTCCATCCGCATTATTTTGCTTCCTTCGGAAACAGGGTTTCTGTACCTCAGTTGCTTTAAAAGGTGTGGACTTCAATTCTCAGAATTCCCCACTCAAATGAGAAGCGCTGTTGTAATGGGAAAGTCACAGCCAATAGTAGCATCAAATAAACTTGCCTGATCTCAAGAAGATAAGGAAGGGTGGATCTGGCTAGTAATCCCTGGATAGTTCAAGTGTCAGTTCAGTTCAAGCGTCCATTGCCTTCTGGGAGGTTGAGAGTCATCACTCCAATTTGACTCGTGGTTGACTACAAGGTAGAAAAATGAGGTGAGGCCCCAATCTTGTTCACATTCTATGCTGTTGACCAAATTGGGGTGGTAATTTCTCTTTAAAGGGTGTTTTCTCCAGGGTAGAAAGCTCATTCCCACAAATTGCCACTGAGTATACTTTATGCTTCTTCTGCCATGTTCTCGGTTGATCTTCACTACAACCATTATGGAAGATCTCAGAGATCTTGGTGAGGACATCAACATAACTTGCTCCACCTCTTCCTGGATCTGTAGATTTAAAGGGGCATTCTGGAAGAATGTAGCAGGGAACCATGACCATGCTATTGTCAAGAAAGCGACATGGATGCATCCATAAAATCACCAGGACTTGAGCTCACCTGTGGGAGACAGAACCTTAGTGGATATAGACTTTCATCTCTAATAGTTTTCATTCATCCTCCCATCTCAAGTTAAGGGCAACTGTGTTGTCAGTTTCAGCAATCATGGTGAGAGGTCTTCTAAATTGTCCTTTCCAACTGTAAATTCTGGGGCGAGGAAATAACATTTTAATCAATGTTTCTTTTTTTTTCTTCCAGAATGAAAACATTGAACAATAGAAACAAAACTGGATCTATTCTTTTCTCTAATTAAAACAGCCCATAATAGCCTTGGCCTTTTGTAAAATTGGGCAACACCATGGATCCTTTGTACATATCTACCACATTTCCAGATATTAATGTCTCCTTTTCAACAAACTCCACAGACAATGCAACACTTATGGATTTTTCCACCTCCTCCTGTATCCGTTCTGTCTTCATACCGATAATTTACCTTCTGGTTTGTGTTATCGGACTGAGTGGGAACACTTTGGTCATCTACGTGGTTTTGCGTTACGCCAAAATGAAGACCGTGACCAACATCTACATTCTGAACTTAGCCATCGCTGATGTCCTCTTCATGTTGGGCTTGCCATTCCTCGCCACCCAAAATGCCATCTCCTACTGGCCCTTTGGAACATTCACCTGTAGGCTAGTGACTGCTTTTGATGGCATTAACCAATTCACCAGCATCTTCTGCCTGACTGTCATGAGCCTGGACCGCTATCTTGCAGTGGTCCATCCGATTAAATCTACCAAGTGGCGCCAGCCAAGGATAGCCAAATTGATCAGTGTGGCTGTCTGGACTTTATCCTTTTTGGTGGTCCTTCCCATGATTATATTTGCTGATGTCCAGGAAGATTTTCATACCTGTAACATGAGCTGGCCTGATCCAATTGAGATATGGTCAGCTGTGTTCATCATCTACACATCAGTGCTGGGTTTCTTCGGTCCCTTGCTGGTGATATGCCTCTGCTATTTGTTGATTGTCATTAAAGTGAAATCCTCTGGGATCCGAGTTGGCTCTACAAGACGCCGGAGGTCAGAGCGGAAAGTGACCAGAATGGTGGTCATCATAGTTGTGGTTTTTGTTTTCTGTTGGCTCCCTTTCTACATTGTCAATATTGTCAATTTGATATTCATCTTGCCAGAGGAGCCCATCTTGGTGGGCATTTTCTCCTTCGTGGTGGTTCTCTCCTATGCCAACAGCTGTGCCAATCCCATCCTTTATGGATTTCTTTCAGAAAATTTCAAGCAGAGCTTTCAGAAGGTCTTGTGCCTCCACAAAGGCAATAGCATTGAAGACGGTGACCCCACCGAACTCCGGCAGGAGAAGAGCACCCATCTGAAGGACATGATGCTGCCTCAGAGGAACGACAACTTCAACGGGCACATGCTGACTAGCAAGGTGTAGAAAGTCTGTGACATCAAGAGAGACGCAACTGGATTGAAATACATTATGGCATTTACTGCAAGGGGACTGGGCCAAGAGAAGGTGGTTACCTCACCTTGCAGGTTAATGTACAGAAGTTTTCTTTCCCAGCCCTTTGTTGCTGTGTTCACCCTAGAATTCTGGGTGTCATGAAAAGTTTCAGCACTGGTGACCAAAAAGAACCTATTGTACTCCTTTCATTCTTGCTCTCTCTTCCATGAAGCTTTTTACACAGGTACACAGGCACAAAAAACTTAGTTAGGCTATATTGTACAAAGGAACAGACGATTGTTATGACTTCCATAGCAGAAGGCCTTCTCTTTGCAATTTACTACATTGCAGATGAAGGTTGGAGACTATGAG